GTCTACTCGCGTATCATCATGCCCGCCTCATGAGAATAAAAGAACTGCGTTGGCAATACAACGCTGTGATTCCAAAAGGTAATCAACTAGATTTCTTTCCTTTCACTTCCATGCACTACAATTCTTTGAGTTTCTTGTCATCGCCCGTATTTAATATTGGGACTTATTTTTGCGTATGCGTTTATTTTAGAATTCGGCGAAACTTATGAGATTTTAATCTATGCTCCGGCTACCGGCCTTTAAAAAGACACTGCACTTGTTTTAATTTGAAAGGTTTTGTTTAGCTTCCGCTACCATATAGCCATTTGTTAGCTGCAGTTTCTTGGTTGTTAAAAACGCGGTTTCCATGTGGACCCATTATTCCTGCTCACCGTCCTGATGCATACGCTTGCCAGGTGTATGAGAAAATGCCTGTGTGCCATTTCGCTTGAAAAACTTAAAGGAAATTCGGTAAGATGATAGTTGGTAGCCGTGCCCACAGACTCCACAATGGTACCTACTGGCTCGATTTCAGTAGCTGTGATTGCGTTCTCATTATGCTTCTAAATTCACGCGCACGCTATATTACCTGTATCAGATTCATTTTAGAGGTACTATCCTGGGCAGATTTGCACCGGTAACTATGGTAATGAGGCTTACGCTATGTCAAATTTCATTTGAAGAGGGAGTTGGCAACCGTGCCCACAGAATCCACAACTGTACCTACTGGCTTGATTTCAGTAGCTATGATTGCGTTCTCATTATGCTTCTAAATTTGCATGCGTGCTGTATTACCTGTACCAGATTCATTGTGGAGGTACTATCCTGGGCACCGGCAACAATGGCAAAGAGGCTTTCCCTACATCAACTTTCATAAAAAGAGGTAGCTCTTGACTGCCTCATTCATTGTAGAGGTACTATCTTGGGCGGATTGGCACCGGTAACGATGCCAATGAGGCTTACCCTTGATCAACTTTCATTAGCAGAGGTAGCTTTCGACTGCCTCATTGTTTGCGGATTTTCTCTTCCGCCCAAACCAATTTCTCGCATAAAAGTCTTACCCGGCTTGCGTTGTGGCGTCCCGCGTGCCGCTGCTTGACTCTCGTGTTCTTCTGTCCATTATGTTGGATGGAGTTCTATCGCGCACACTGTGGAATGACCTTCAGACCAGTTGCCTTCTTCCCATTGGTTGTTCGCCTTCACTTGCTTTTCTTTCCAATCTGAGGCTAGGATGCATTTATTCCACACACCGTTCAAAGTCTCCTTGCTCATTTCCATACCTTCCTTGTATTTTTCACCTAATCTAAATTAGGCTTCCACTTTACCAGGAACGTCAATTCCTAGCATATAGTACAATCGCCATTTACCCGTTCACTCAATTGTCCTAACCGTATAGCTCCTTTTACCACCGGTCCCGATCGACAGGCAGCTGGGAGTTTGCGGTGTCAGGAGGGCTACCAACTATCATCTAACCGGAAATTCGTGTGTGGATTCTTTATCTCTTCCGCGCAAATAACTATCGTCGGTCTTATTCCGAACCTTGTCAGCGGAACACTCTTTTCAGGAAGCTCCTGTACATCTCTCGTGGATTGTAAAGACTGTACACGTTCAGCATCAAGACGTCTCTTTAAGCGAACACAAAATGAGTTTCGTTTAGGGTTGGAATTTAGAAGGGAGTTCATACTACTTTCTTTGACTGTTATGCCTTTTATAAAACGCCTTTCATTTCATGCCAGCATTACTTTTGCCTCAGAAATCCGCCGGAACTTCTCACCCGAAGAACTCAAGTGGTTCACTAATTACTGTTCAAGTCTGGCCAACTTCATGCAGGCCGATGCCACTGAACGCGGTGGAGCCGGTGGCATGGATCTTACTCAGTCCGTGAAACCGCCCAAGTCACTGGTGATGGAGGTTCGCTGTCTCAAGGATTATGGCGAATTCGAGACTGAGGATGGATGCCTCCTTAATTTGACAAAAGGCAGCCAGCACTTAATGTTTCGCAGTGATTGTGAAAGTCTCGTTCGGCAAGGCATTCTCCAGCACATCGACGACTGAACTCGCTTTGTGGGAAATTCTAGGACGAATTTGAAAGCCCGTCCACGGTTCAGATGTATTTTTATAATGTTATACTATTTTTTCCCACGCGCTTTATTTTTGTTGGATCATTTTCCACTCAGAACTTGTACAGCACCGTTTTTGAAAAACAGAGAATCTGGGCATCTTTTTACTGATATCTTTAGCTCTGAGGCTAAGAACACGAAAGGAGGCCACAAGTAGATACTCTACTGAAAGTTTTCACGTAATAACTCCCCCGTCTGGCAACGGCGGTTGGCTGTGGAAGAACTTCATTGAAACCCTTGGGTTTACGGTCTTCGTCTGCTCACTGTCCGAATACTTTCTGTCAAGTTTCGATTCAGCTCGGACACTTGCTGCCCAAACAGTCTCGCATCTCGGCTCATCGTTGCGGGCTTGAAGATCCTGGATTCCAAGGGGACGGCGTCCGCCGACCATCGATGGCCACTGTAGAGCAGCAACCTTGGTTGCTTCGTTCCCTGTATTTGCACATTTCATTTGTATGCCATTTGGCGTGATATGACTTCGTGTCCATTGAGGTCGTCGTCCAGGGTTGACTGCGGTATAGCGCTTTGATGAAGTACGTGCACAGGACTGTAGCACCAAATCCCACCGTCATTCCAAGTACAAAGTCGACTGTAGCGCAGAAGGGGAACTTTTGATACTAGACCTTTCTGATAGTTTTTTCTCCTTGATGAGCCTGGAAATCCCACACGAAGTGAAGACTCCGGCCATCCGTTATACTCTTTAGATTTGAAAAGTCGGGTTGGCAAATACGTGCCTTCGGTGATTTGCTTAGGTAGGAAGTATAAAGAGCGCGGCCCGGCCAGACTGACAGCGACTCCCGTGTACGAGCTGTCTGATAAAGATCTACTTCGGTGGCTTGTGGCATAGCTGCGTGTCCAACTGCGCGGGAGTTGCCGTGGCGTGATTTGGAAAGTCCTTGTGTTCCTTGACCGAATTCTGGGTAATTTCCGTCCCCTTCGCCCTGAATTAATTGTCGCGAAGTCATTCCGCCTTATGGCCCGTGACAGCTGCCATATGTAATGCCGTACGACGGCATATTAGCGTTCCGTATTCCCATTTCTGGAGCGACGCCTTACGCGTAATGCGACCTAGATGCAGTAACTGACACTCAAACTGTCCACACAATTGGCCCACAGTTAAGTGTGAACAGATCTACTTTCCTAATGTCAATCTACTACCGACGCGGAACGGGGGGCGTTCCCTGGTGAAAATCTCGGAAGGTACTTTGAGTGTGAGGCGCATTCCTTCATGTGCTTCCCCCCTGTCGTACATTTGCAACACAATTTCTACTCAAGAACCAAAAGTAGGCATTGGATACTAGAAGTGCTCTTCCCACCTGAATAGGCGGATCTTGCGCAACCCAAGTTCGCATCAGCAAATCCCATTGCCTTTATTTCCTTCTACGAGCTGCCTCCCAAATCCAGCGCTAGTTCGGATGTTCATGTTGTTGGGGGCATGTCTTAGAAGTCATTACGTTCTAGTACCGAAGGAGCTCATGAGAGGGACTGATAATTAAGATCCCTTTGGAGGTTTATGATGGAAACCAACTCCAGTACAACGGATGGCGGAATTCGTGAGATGTGCCTAAATCTACGGGAAAAATTCCTAATGCGTAGGAGATCGGATCAAGCACCGACGAAAACCACCGCTTAATATTTGAGAAGCCTTAAATGACACGGAAACACGAGTAGTGTTGGATGTAATGTTACCTTGGCTGGGAATAACAACCCTCAAGGGAAGTAGGAATTCCGAAAGCTCTGTTATTTATTTCAGACGCGTAATTTATGTCCATGCGAATGCGACACCATAACCATACCAGCGTCTAGCGGACTCCGTCAGATAATCCTCAGGGTAAATATCCTCTAAAAATTAGCGTAATATACGGTACTGCGGCCAGTGAATTGACAGATGTTTGACGGCTTTTGGAAATGGCCTAGTAGTAGTCGAACCTTCGAAATGTAACCCAGGGGCTTGTCGGCAATTTCTTTTATGTAAATGGCGACTTGTGTCATATTTGTAGACTCAGCTAAATATGGAACGCAATCTTCAGAGGAAATGGACGTCTACAACGAAGGCCGGTTATAACTATGCTCCTGATCCCTAAAAAATTAATAATTCGTCCCTTCTAAAAGTGCCTTATTAGTATATTTTGCTGATGAATGCCGACGTTCTTTATTCTTCCAAAATAGAGTCAAAGATTTTGGAACAGTTACCTTGTTTAATGCATTTCCCTGACAGGTACTGAGGATTTTTCAACTATACACGATAATGTTCACTTTCTCTTTATTTTAGAACCACTTTTGCTAACTATATTTCCCTGCTTAACCCTTTCTAGAACTAAAATGCGCAGCAGTGCCCATATAAGGACGAGTTATTGTTCAAACAGCTACCGTTGTACCTGTTCCCTGTCTGTTTTATCCACTCACAGAAATTTGAAAGCAAAAACTAATTCATCATTTGTTCAAATATCTTAAGGACCGCTTAGTAGAAACTTAGTTCCTGGGCAAATATCCACGAGTACTAGGATAACTAGGAGTTCCAGAAGCAAATACACATGACACCCATCACACAACAGAAGAACTGGACTCTTAGGCAGAAGAGGAATATAATAATGAAACCAGATAATTATTGAATATCAGGCATTCGGGTGAGAGGGATGAAGAATACGTGAATACGTGGGGCTGCGAAAAACACGTAGCTGGCTGTGAGAGGAGGCCGGTGATTAAAGGAGGTTGCCGTTGGGCTTCGCCAGTTTCTCAGCGAATTCGACGCACTAGAAGTAGAACACTAAGGGACTTTCAGAGGGAAGCCGTGTATGTGCCTTATGGGTTTGCAGGATACTTGAAATTACGATGGTAATATATCGGAGCACGGCCAGTTGGCGCTATTGCCGCTCTTTAGAGCAAACAATTGTAAAGTCAATTCTTAGTAAAAAGAAAAAAATCTGTCAAAAGAAGAAAATGGCGTTCACTTGGACGCGGTTTATTTGCGGTCTGGTGTTCCCAATAGCGAATTCGACTACCCATCTTCAGAAACTGGGGAGTCCCGTGTCCAGATCTCTTTGTATTGCGCATACTGCTTGATCCCTAGGTCGCCAACATCGACTGTAGGGCTGAATGGGATCATTTTTCGCCGTCACCTGTGTCGCATCCGCGCTCGTCGGCCGCGACGATAACTGGGTGTCCCGATTCACGCCTTCATTGTCTCCTGTCAGTAACAATCGTAAAATCAGATAGGAGGAGGGCGTGTCCATATGGCGGATGACCGAACAGTCGACTGACATCTAGGCTACCTACGACTGACATGATACGTGATCATCGCCTCGGTCCACAAGCCCAATGACGCAAAGATCAAAATGTGTCCCGCTTATGCGACGTGGGTTGATACCTTCGACTTTGGATTCAACTCTCGCACAGCCAGCTGATGATTGATACATGTGACGTATTCGCCAATCGTTCCGAACAATATCCTATTTATACAGAACATGTTTCTCATTAAGTCAATCAGGCAAAATATCTATAAATTTGAGCGGAAGTCTAAAGTGCCTTATGCCCAGACAACTTTCAATGTTAGTAACTGTTCTACATTAACTTTGCACATCCTTGCATGCTTTTCCGCCAGAGGCGAAGTGTCATAACCTAAGAGTTTTACCAAACAAAACTTGCCGAACTTGGACGTCGATTTTTTGCCCGCGTAAATCAGATGAAACTGGATGTTAACAAACGTGTCGTTTTTTAAAAGCTAGACGTATCGTCGATTTTAAAAGTCGGATTCGTGAGTGCATATTATTTTACGCTCAAAAAAACAGTAAATAATGCCATCAGCTCGACCGACAATGAGCTTGGGCACAGTGGACCAAAAATCCTGTCTACGAGTGCGACATATGGTCTGGACGCCACTTCGTATACTAGGCTACGCCAAAGGATATACATGCCACTTGCTCCTAGATGTGGGATTTGGCCCATCGCGCCGACACTGATAAATTACGTGGCATGCGGCGGGATCGTCAGCTGCAATTGCGAGGGCCGCCTTCTCAGGCAGGACTGTTCAGAACACAACCTTCCCTTACCAACGCCCTCCTCTGTCTTCCTATCCGAGAGAAGGCAACCTTGATGTGCCCTCTTACGCAGTGCTGGTAACCGCTGGACCACGTCCTCGTCCAGAGGCATGACCAGTTCAAAGTGTTTGTGTCGCCTACAGGATCACTGTGCTCATTTCGTAGGACTTGCATGCGAGGAGGAGCGTGGAACAGGAGAGGGGAATACAGGAGGCGTCGACACTCATACCAGAGGCTTTCATCTGGTTTATTGTACAGGTCGAGGCTATTGCTGGGATGTTGCTGTTATGCAGAGCACAACCTCGTGGAGTCTCAGAAGAGCACTGGATGTCAGTAAAGCACCGTGCAGAGCAGCCACAACATTCAACATTCTCTTGGACTCACCAGCTACTCTTACACTGTGTGCTCCCTAACGGAACGATTTGCGCATTCTATTTCTGAGTCAGTCGGTATGACGTAAATGAAATCGCTAAGACACAAGAATAGAAATCCCCTGTGATTCAGGTGACCTTGTGCTAAACTGTAGGAAGCGGACATATTCACGTGTTTTAACCCTAAATAGAATTTTCCTGAAAACTAGTGCAAGACTACCTGTACTACAGGGGTTCCTATTCCAGTGCCCTGCCAAAAAAATCGACAAGTTCGGAACTGCTAAAACGGTCTGATTCCAAGTCTGAAGCCTGCGATTAGAAAGCCAGGCCGGATGAGGAGATATCTTCATAACGGGTGGATTTTAAGGGGTTGTTGCTTCCCTAATGTGAGTTTTTAACGGGTAATATAGCTGATTAGAGAAGCATGCTTGAGAAGTTAGGCATTTAGATCTCTGCAGAAATTTCGCTCAACTCTAATCTCTTTAAAAGTGTCCATCGTATGGGGCTTTCCAAATAACTAAGATGCA